CCTTCCGATCCGCAAGCGAGCGTCTAACCTCTACACCACGCGGGTTTCCTTGTGCCCTTGCTGAAATGTTTATTTCCTGCCACATTAGGCTGCACCTCCATTTTGTAGGATAAGTTATGGGTACGAAGTCATCATGCACTCTACTGCATTCGTCTTGGCGGTAAGTGCAGCATATATCATTGACGAATTCGCTTCGTCAAGTGTTGGACCAGCCGTAACAATATTATTGTTAGCAAGATAATATGCACCCTCGTTGCCTCGAACACCTTCATCACTCATAAAGGTTAGGCCAGCCATTCGCATGGTGTTTAGTGATACAAGTCAATGTCTAATGAGACCAGTCTAGAATTTATTGAGTCGTTCAGTATACACGCGTGTTTGTGTGTAAGACGCTTCGTAATAATAATATAAAAGAATCCTGCGAATATTTTGACCAGACAAGAAAAGAAATGATGAACCGAGGAGGAAAACAAATGATCATCACTGGCAATCAGTGTCAACGGAAACAGGTAAAGTTGACTTGGACATGTCAACAGAGTGCCTTGTAACACTTTGGCAACGACAGCTGTCTGATGAAAGGCAGATTTAAAAAAAAAAAAAAAAGGGGGGGGGGGGTAGAAAGCGTCAAGAAGGAATGCAAAATAACAGTGAAAGTAGATAAGCACATGCTGGCAGCAATAAGGATTATCTATGAATGCCTTATGTGTCGTTAGTGAAGGGAATAGATTATAGATATATGTGTGTGTGGCCTTATTGTTTGTTGATTATCTAAAGTTGAGTTGTGTCGAGTTGATTCAAGAACCGACATCACAGCACTCGGGGCGTTCCCTTAAGCGCTCTGTCCCCATTTCAGGAGCTAGCGCCAATACAAGTGATGCCAGTAGCATTCTGATTATACGTCCGTCTTGCGTCTCTGACTGTCGAGCATCAGCCAGAACGCCATAGTCATTCCCAGCTGCATCATTCTCACCAGGCTGTTTTGATCCATCTGCTCCTCCGAATTATACACGCTCTCCTACAAGGCCATAACCACGACTGCCTTATCATGCATTAGTATTCTACCAAGTTGTGCAGAGCCAGCCAATCTGTTCTCCTGTTCATTTCCCAACACATCAGCGTGACCCGGCTGGAAAGATCCAGACAATGCGCCTCACCCGTGACCTCCCCTGCGGAGCATGTCAATCTACACTAAAAAGTAAAAAGGTAAAGGTCCCTTTCTCACGCCTCTAGGCGTATAGGGCATATAGGGCTAGACCTATATTTTATAGACCATTCGGCACAAGATGGGTGATGATGTCAGCAGCATGCCCTCTACACTAAGCATGCCCGTCCTTGCCTTCCTCGGCAGGCTCTGAGTCAATTATCCAGAATAAACAGCCATATATCTGACAGTTTTACATCCAATAGCTCAGCATCACTAATATACATCAAATACCTAGTAGCCGTAACAAATTTACGGCCATGGATGCGGGAGATTGTGCACTTCATCGACTGGAGTTAGAAAATTTATTCACAGGAGGGTTGGGGTGGGGGGGGGGGGGGTGTGTGCTGGTGTGGGGTGTTTAACGCCATTGACGCGAGTTGTCGGTTTCCTGGGAGCACATCACACACACACACACACACACACACACACACACACACACACACACACACACACACACACACATATATATATATATATATATATATATATATATATATATATATATATATATATATATATATATATAAATTTTTTGCTATAGGCAAGGTAAGCACATTTTACTATGGAATAAACCTTGAAGGGGTGGGGTTAACAGACTATGCTATTGTATGAAGCGCAAAATGAGAAATAAATGTATAAAATAAATAAATGTAAATATATGAAATATATTGTTTATAAATAAACAATATTTAGGCTCTCCTCCGAACTTCTACCCCCGCATTATGGCGGCCTGAAATATCCGTTCGGGGCTCAGTCCAATGAAACATTAGGACTTTCTGCCAAGGAACAAATCGCGGCAAAACTAGGATTACTTGACAATTTCAAGAAACGAAACATTGCAGACGATAGTAGCAGACGATAAAAGCGATCGGTGACAATCTCGAGCGTTTCTGCAGACGATACTAGCAGACGATAAAAGCGTCAATTGACAATTTTGAGACATTACAGACGATGTAAGCGATATGGCGGGTAGACCACGCGCTCCTGTGCAGATTAGCAATACTGTTCTTCCGATTGAGGATTTAGCAGCGGTAGATGTCAGACTTGTCAGCATGCGTAAAACGCGATTAAATTCACCGCCGAGGGTGTCCCCCGCTCCGCTACGCGCGGCGCGGATAGGGGGCTAAACTAGGTGCCTGGGACTCACGAGCAAAGTAATTGGAGGAAGTTGCATGGGATACGGTCGGCGGCGAGGGATAGTCACAGAAACAGGTCCGCAAGTAACATATCGCTGAGACCCTGTTAGAGCATGTGTTTCGTTTTTCCGAGCCGAAACTAGATTTGCCGCGATTTGTTCGTCGGCAGAAAGTCCCTCAAGTGCCCATTTTACACATTTGTTCCTCGGCAGAGAGTCCGACAATGGAAAGTGTCAACGGTCGCTATTATCGTTGTCTGCTACTATCGTCTGCAGTGTTGCGTCTCTTAGAATTGTCAGGTAATCAGAAACAATAAGAAACAGGTCCGCAAGTAACATATCGCTGAGACCCTGTTAGAGCATTTGTTTCGTTATACGGAGCCGGCATATTTTTAGTAGAACTAAGCCCCGAACGGATATTTCAGGCCGCCATAACGCGGGGGTAGAAGTTCGGAGGAAAGCCAATATTTACACTGCCCAGTTGTATCACATCAGACGTTTTTGTTTGTGTTTGTTTTGTTATTTTCATCACTTGTATAATTTCACTTAGGTAAGAGAATAAATTTGACAGAATCGACGTGAATTATGAGTATAAAAATAAAAGGTTAAAGTCTGTTATAAGCTCAAAGTCTTTCTGCAACTGTTTTTCATTGGGTCTAAGTCCCTACCTGCATGCATGATTAGCATATATGTTGTTTGTGTTTAAACAATAAGATCATTATCGTGTTGTGTTTTAGTTTATTCAGAGTCAATAATTCTTAATCGTCTAAAATTCTCTACATTGCTCTTGTAATAACTTCGTTGTCAAAGCTATCTTCTTGTTCCTTATTCCCTCAACACTGGTAAATGTAAGAAGAAGTAACTCTTCTCTAGCTCATATTGAGAATGTCCGGCAAGTAATACCTAAGCCTTGTTTTGTTGTTTTCTCTGGGTTTGAAATATAATGATACAGACAACCGCGTTGAGCTTGATATAACAAATATTTTTATAATTGCATTGTTATATTTTTGAGTGTAACGATTTCAACTTTCAGGCATTTTGATAGCACAGGAACCAGTCATATAAGTTAAAAAGCTACAGACACGAAAACACAATTTTGCTCGAAAGTCAAAGTATATTTATTATTAATGTACTATGAAGATTTCATACGAATCAAAAAAAAAAAAAAAGAAGTTCGAATTTGTCCCGTTCAGATTCTGTTTCCACCGGATGATGCAACACTGTAGATCCATTTTCTTCTGATTGTCTTTTACGTGAAACAACAACTACCACCTTAATCCTCCACGTTACATGCAAATTCCACTACATGGCATTGGGCCAAAGGGCGAAAGCTCATGCGCCGCTGGATCGATAACAACAACAATAATCCTCCACGTTCTGGTTTTCAGTTTGCGTACGGTTTAGAAACAGATTCTTCTCTTGGCCTTCAGTCAGTGGTCTTAGAGTCACACGGTGGAAGAGACTGATAACTCATCATGTTAAACTCCAGAAATAGCAGCTAACACCCATTGTGAAAACGGCACAAAAATGGTTTTAAAAGATCTACCTATAAGAACATGTATTTATTCATAAAGTCTAAGACGCTCTAGAGAATGTATCATCAAATGTATAAATTAGTAATGCAGTGAACTAAGGTTAGTTGCGTATCCTTTACAGGACGTTGCGGAACCAACCTCAACAGCCCCTGGCTGTTGTGTGGTTTTTTTAAAGCAAATTTACGTCCAATAGTTTGCCATTGCCTTCTGGACGGTCGGCTTTCTTGATACCACTGTCTAAACCAACGTAAGGCGCATGGCCCGCAGCTGGGATCGAACCCGGCATTCCGGCATTACGAAGCGTTTGCATCGACTTAGCCACAGAGCCGACTAATGCAGTGAACTAGCCACGTGAAAACTAGATGGTCTGATGGGTTGAGATGTCAATGAGCATCCACTCTGGCGTATGTTACAGTTTCAGAAGGGAGACTGGTCCAGAGGCCACGAAACTGGGTTCTCATTCAGGAAAATGGGGATCGAATCCTCGGTAAGTACATGAACTCTTGTTTTGTCCGTCGAGGGCCAAACATACAAGGTCTAACCTGTCCAGTTTATGGCTATTGCACTTAAATGTCCAGACTAAAAGCCCTCTGGCCTACACTGTCTTCATCGTAATCATCATCACCTCAGCCCTGCAATATTGAAAGTCGTTGGTTCATCAGTAGCCGTCGCCTGTCAGATAAGTTTTCCCACCTCTGTTGGGTACAAACAGTGGACTTGACGTTTGCCTGTTTGAGGCCTGTTCATTCATCCGGATTCTGCATTAAGATCTTTCTTTGTCTCTTCTCGTCCTCCCCTCACTAGAGCCATGTAGTATCGTTTTTAAGAGGCTGGTAGATCTCGTTATGACATAGCCCTAAGACGGTATTCATTGCTTGTTCTGTGTTGCTGAAAGAGGTTCATAGTTTCCCGGGAGTTCACTGCTGTTGATCTGGCGACCGTCGTCATTTATGTTGGGTTCCCCCCCCCCCCCCCCCGCCCCTCCCCCAAAAAATTCCACGGTTACAGTTTTCCAGTTGCAGTGTCTAGGATGTGATATCCCTGTCAAGTTGCGGCTAGCTGCATATGAAATCCACGACTAGTTGGGTTTCTAAGGATTTGAACCCCCTCCATTGGTGATCTGCTGTCACTGGAAACGAGGCCAGTATTGAGAGGTCACAGTGCTCATGTGATGTTGGTTCATGTCCTGGTGACTTGCTGGGACTTGTAGATGCACTGGCAATCCAGCAGGGATCAGACCTGCCACAGAGTTACAAGAAACAGGGTTATACACTTTCATCTGGTATAGAGATACAAGAAACAGGGTGAAACTCTTTCATCTGACATAGAGAAACAAGAAACAGGGTTATACACTTTCATCTGGTATAGAGATACAAGAAACAGGGTGAAACTCTTTCATCTGACATAGAGAAACAAGAAACAGGGTTATACACTTTCATCTGGTATAGAGATACAAGAAACAGGGTGAAACTCTTTCATCTGACATAGAGAAACAAGAAACAGGGTTTATACACTTTCATCTGGTATAGAGATACAAGAAACAGGGTGAAACTCTTTCATCTGACATAGAGAAACAAGAAACAGGGTTATACACTTTCATCTGGTATAGAGATACAAGAAACAGGGTGAAACTCTTTCATCTGACATAGAGAAACAAGAAACAGGGTTATACACTTTCATCTGGTATAGAGATACAAGAAACAGGGTGAAACTCTTTCATCTGACATAGAGAAACAAGAAACAGGGTTATACACTTTCATCTGGTATAGAGATACAAGAAACAGGGTGAAACTCTTTCATCTGACATAGAGAAACAAGAAACAGGGTAATACACTTTCATTCCTGGGTAAGTTTCTCTGAAAATATCTTCAGTCAGATGGAAAGGTTATTGGCATCTAGAGAGATTTTTTTTTTTTTTTAAATATCCAGAAACCACGAGTTGTTAACCATTTGACTCGGTACTATGAATATCTAAACCCTTCGGCATTGATTCCATAATAGATAGAGTAAATCAATGGGAAATGTGACTTTTCTGCCTACCACCGGACGTGACCCCTGACCACAAGGGGTTCGTCAATGATCGCCGCGCAGTCAGATTTAACCAACTGCGCTAGCGAGCCGAAATCTAGAGAGATAAACAATACATTTACAGTTGAGAATTGTCAAATATTGTATTTACTCATCTCTTTCTGATAGAGAAGCCAAGGTCATAAAGAAATAATAATTAAAAAAAAAAAAACGGATTTTCTGGAAATGTGGATATACAGAAGAATAGGTCGTATTTCATGGATACAAAAACAATCAAAAGACGTTCTGAAGAGACGGGATAAAATAGGGAATTCTGAAAGAAATAAAAAGAAGCATTGAAGCCAATTTAAAAGAGTTAGTTGCATATCCAATGTGTTCTTGGCCAGCCTGTGAAATAGTTAAAAAAAGAAGAAGGAGGACACAGAAAGTAAAAATGAAACAAAGTTTAAATGTGTTGGCTCTATAAATAACATAAATAAGACAAAGACTGTCACATGAGCAGTTTTGTTTTTTATGTATACTTCAGAATTTACGCACAATACCAGGCATGATAATGATGATATTAATAATAATAGTAATAAGAATAGTAATAATAATAGTAATAATAATATTATTAATAATAGTATTAAAAATAGTAATAATAATAATAATAATAATAATAATAATAATAGTAATAATAACAATGATAGTAATAATAAAAGGAAGAAAAAATTGATACTTTTTTACACAGTTAGGCGCATTTTTTGGTGTGATTTAGATGGAAAAGGGGGTGGGGGGTATGTGGGGGGGGGGGGGCGGGTGTCTGACCTGATGCAATTTTAACTTACCAAATGTCAAGCTCACTTTCAAGCGTCTACCCACTACGCCATAGCGGCACTAACAATAATAGTAATGCTAATAATATAGTTATCGGATCTGAGAAATGTATCTTTACAGGGGCAAATAACAGATGGTATCAAATCGTGTGTGTTTTGCTGACTGAGAACACTTTGTATAGATACGGCATTCACTTGAGGTATCCAGCGTATCTGACTCAGTTTGTGACTGCCCTTGTGTGGGTTCCGGGGCCCCATTGTGGGGGGAAAACAAGAATAGACCCACTGCCTCCCCAAAAGCATGTTGTAAGAGTCGACTAATTGGGGAGCTTCCTTTGAAGTTGTAGTGCATCTGCCGGAGAGGAAGAGGAACCAACAGTCTGTATTCCAGAGAATGAGATCTGTAAAACTGATGCACATGCAACACTCAGGTTCTGGAGCAGGACTGCAGTTCAGTAGTGGACGAGCAACCAGAACCTTTCGCCAGAGTTTACAGCTGGTGAACGCGAAGAAGAAGAAGTTTGTGACTGGAATCCCAGGCATAGGCGGTTGAGCAACTATAGGCCAGGCTCGTTTGCTGTGATGTCATAACCGTAACGACTAATTAACTATAACAGACAGTAATAATAACAAAAAAAAAAAAAAAAATCACGAATCATCTAGAAATCGTGACAGAAAAAACAAGTGACACCTTTGTAAGTTACTATACGTTGATTGACACATACCAGAGGAGACTGTACTGTGAGTGGGCTGCATCAATGAACCCTGGTGCATACTGCATGGAGGAATGGAATAGTTTCCCAGAGACAGCGAATGATCGTATCCACGAGGGTTATACTCTGTTAGGAAGATCATAGAAAAGTATAAGAGTTATACACGGGATCTGCTTTTTTTTTTACATTCCTTCTTCTTACCCTCAGTAGAGCATAATCCAGCAACCAACTCACTCGAAGTCGTTCTATCCTTCGCTATCACATGCAGCTGTTTCCATATCCCCACCCCCCCCCCTTCTTTTTAACTTTACTCTAGAGCTCCCTTCTCCGTGTTTTTTGCTCTTCCTTTATTTCTACAGCCATGTGGGTTCTAAGCAAAGACATTCTAGTTATATTGTTCTCAGGATTTCTCATCGAATGTCCTATTCAACGCCAGCGTCTTTTCTCACCTCTTGGTCCACTGGAACTTGTTTAGTCCTCTGCCAATGCTCGGCGTTAGTGATTCTATCATACTAATTGATTCCCTCTATTCTTATGCAAGCACCGGTAATTGAATGTTTGTAGTTTATTAGTAATTGCCTTTCTCTTCTAATATATGTCGTTGACCCTGTGAGGTCACATTTACGAGACTCTATGTACCGCAGTTTATATTGTTGTGTAGCACCTGTAAGTCTTTTCAAACAGTAGTGTTTCATTGCGCTACAGAGAGGCAGGAAAATCACAGACCAAGTGATCGTCTTCTCCACAGTAAAGGCCTGGCCAGTATTCTAGAGACCATCTGTTGCTCATGCATCATCATCCTCCCCTTGACCTGTATTGTTAACTCCAAAGGAAAGGTATCACCTTATACGATGAAATAGTCAAGAAACTTACATGTACTTCAGTAACTTTGAACTTTGAACTTTGAACTACGGATCAACACCATGGCACTAGGGAAGTAACCATAAGTGCTCCTTTCTTTCTTCTAACTCAAGTCTTGAGTGCGAAGAAGCTCAGCACAATGCACAAGCTCTGTAGCACCTACGAGGATCCTGAAATATTTTGGGTAGATTTTCACTCCAAATTTAGCCCAGGCAGAGCCGTTAGGCTACTCTTTGCGATTTCTTTGCGATTTTTTTAAGTGCGCAACAATGCACACGGGCGTCCGATCTCACTATCCAGAGACCAGGGGAAATACTTGAAGTCCTTGTCCACGGGAAAAAAAATCCCAGCCCTTGTCGAGAACTGAACCCAGAACCTCTAGCACTCGAGGCGGACACCATGATTCGAGACCACGCAGCTCCCTAACTACTTCAGCAATAGCTAGACAACGCGACGTGTGCTCAGATAGAAGAAAGCCTAAAAGGACCAAGACTCAGAGCTGGACGAGCAGGAAAGGACACCAAGAAACAGACAGACATTAGGCCATTTAATATGGCACACAAATCCAATCTCAATCAACAACAAATGGCACAAGTAACACAGTCACAGTTATAACCTAAAACATTTTTTTTTTCAGAAGGAGGTGTTTGAACGTGGCAATCTTGTTTTGTTTTTCTCAAAAAACTGATTCTGCTGATGATGATGATGATGATGAAGTATCACCTTAATGCTTGGAACAATGCATACGGCAGAAGCTGTCGGGTAAGAAAGGCCCTATTCAGTCCGCCTGTCGGAGCTTCCTTTTTTCACCATTATCATTAATTTTCACGACTGCCGTCAAGCGTTGTGGAAAGGAACAGTTTGCAGTCCATTGCCTGATGGACAACTGTTGCAGTTGTCATTCCGTTTCGACATAGACGCTCTTTAATGTCATCCGTCCATTGTCTCCTAGGGCGACCTCTTGTTTTTACATCAGAATTTTTCATGTATACGCCTGCTTTGGTAGTTGTTCTGGTTACACTTACTAGATGACCAAACCACATGATCTTCTGATTCCTGATGAATTTGTTGCATGATGTTCTTCCCGTATTCTGTCTAAAACATAATTCCTAACTGTCTAGGATGGTTAACATGACGCTTTTCTTAGGCATCTCATTTCATTTGTTGAGATGAAATTCTTCTACACTAGCTGCAAATCAATCTCATATGCTAAGACTGACTGACCATAACAATAAGTTTTCACATTGTATTTCTTCGTCCTAAGGGAAAAAAGGGAACTTGATTATAAATGAACTTGTCGAAAATAATTTACTACAAAAGTCATACATTATTATATTCAAAGAAGACATAAAGATAATGACCACACCTAATTTGATTGAAAATTTAAAACATTTTTGTGGGGTGGGGGAGAGTGTAGTGAATCTCATTTTCTCCTAGATAAATTATGCTTAGACGGAATGACGTCAGTAATTAATGTGAGTGGAATATTTTGAGTCTAACTGGGACAACACAGGAATTTGCTGATAGTCTAACTTCACGAGAATTGTAGAGAAATGCTAATAGGCAAACTTCGCGTGAAGTATAATTATTCACGTGTAGAGAAATGCTGACAGTCAAACTTCATGTAAAGTTTGATTATTCACGGGGGTCACACAATAACTGTTGGCCAAATGTAATTTGTGAGAACAAGAATTCAAAAGCACGAGGAGGGCATTAGAAGGCATATAATGCATGAGAAAGAGCTGGGAGTCAGTCTCGTTTAGGCCTAGGAAATGAATACATGAAGTATGTTGGAGTGTCTGCGGAATCCAGAAAGAGTGTCTAAGTTCGATGTATCTGCACAGTGTTTTTCCAACGCCTACCTGGCCATCAGTAGCGGCGAACGGAAGTCGTAGCCAGCTGAGAATGTATGTGTTTTGATCGGATGGAATCGTTGTTGTTCATTCAATTGTTTGATGGAAGATATGTTTGTTATAAGGTAAAGTTGACATGTTAGATAAGTGAGGATAGATATGAGTGACTATGTTGTCCATTAACATTTACTGGCTGCCATACCAGTAAGTGAACAAATAAACGTGTAATTTGGATCGTTCGCCGGCGTTCATGTTTTCTCGTGTGTTTTCAGTCGGTGAATGGAAGCGTGCGATGACTCGAGCCAGAAGAAGACAAAAGAAAGTCATCGCACTAAGATTAGGCTAATCTCAACCCCAATGCATTTCTCTGCCCGAAGCCGTCACTGTGTCATAACCTACCTGGTAACATGCACGAGTAGGGGGACGATGAGGATCCAGATGACTGCAGGCAGGGCGTGTTGCTGTTGCCTATGTTGCCGGACAAGGAGTAACTGGACATTGGAGGCATGGGGCTGTGAGTGATGAATCGAGAGAGCAGAAGATTAGGTTCTGTAAACGATATACTATTAGAAAGAACAATTATTGAAAACTATTAGGCATTTGAATGGTTTTGTAAACGAATGACCATGTATTAATTAGCACTGTAATCATAGTATAATAATAATACTGTACGGTTCAAAAATTATTAAATAATATGTAAAAATAAAATAATATGTATTCACAGACAGAAATAAAAATAAGAGGACACACTAGACTATCTCTACTTCTTTCTATGAATGCCAATCAACACAGGTAAATTTGTTTACCATACAATTTCAGTGGCCTCAGAGGTTCTCCCGCAATTAATTATTAACCAGTTTCGTGGGTCGTCTCCCCCCTCCCCAGTTTTCAAGCGTGATGGTCGAGTTCGTCACACAGTTTTATCCTATATGGCTAGTACTCTGTGACCAGTTTGTAAGACTGACCTGAGTGCCTATATGTGACTCTGAAAATAAAGTATCTCCGTTTGTTTGTTCGTACACTGAGCTTCTTGTCGTATGAATTAGAAACGCAGTCTTTGAGCTGATGTTGAAAATAGTATAAGCGTCGCTGCAGCCGCTGTGGTGTAGCGGCTAGATGGTCGGCTGCGGATCGGAAAGTCGTGGATTCCGGTCCTGGTGGATCCGGACTTTAAATCAGCTTGGCTCCTAGTTCGACCTAGCCTTAAATGGGTACCACAGTCCTGGGAAGTATAGGCGGCAGGCGTGATATTGACCTAATTACCCACACAGTGTCGTATAGTATATAAAATATACTTCTAACCCTATATGCCTAATACGCCTGAAGGCGATGGAGAGGGTCCTTCTATGGGCGTTGAATGTTCAGTGCACTGGCAACTACTGAATGTATAATTGCCCAGTGAAGCAACATATACTAGTGCTAGCACCGTTTCTATCTATCTATTGTCTTCTTCACTTTTACCGGGTTGCAGCCCAGTGTCGTGGTTTAAAATATTTGTTTTGTGCCTCTCGCGTGATTTGAGGGACAGTTTTCTGGATCTTCTGGCCGTATTCAGCTACTCCATCTTTCCATTTTCCCCTGGGTCTTTCTCTGGCCTTTCTTCCCGATGTTCTACTGTAAAAGGCCTTATAGGCAATCTCAATCTAGCACCGTTTACCAAATCTTTTCTTGTAGAAGGTATTTTGTAACTAGCTTATCCTATGGACATGTACTTTAAAATAATCTAGCCCTATGTTTCTTATTAGCTTGCCCCTGGAATACGTGTAAGAGGTCCGCCCTTCTTCTTTTCGCCGTCACCGGCTGTAAACTCCCACGGAAAGTTTTGGTTGTTCACCCACCTCTGGTCTTTAGACTTGTTACAGAACCTGCACGTTGCGTGCATATCCGTTTTACAGAACTGACTTATTTGTATGTAGACTGTTGGTTCCTTGCATTTCAGGCAGATGCATTCCGACTTCGATGGAGACCCCCAATTAGTGGACTCTTAGGACATGCTTGTTGGGGAGGCAGTGCGTCTATTCTTGTTTTTCCCCACACTGGATCCGGGAACTCGCAGTGGGAGAGCACGTTGAAAAAAAAAAGAGGAAGAAGAAGAAGAAGAAGAAGAAGAAGAAGAAGAAGAAGCCTGATGTAAGATATGGTATGAGGTTTACACAGTTTGAATGCACTTTTCATAAGGATGGACAAGACCGTTTATAAACATAGAATACCATTTCAGTTTTTCAAATAATGGTTTTGTTTACAAAGATGGGGCATACTATTGACAAAGAAGAAATAGACTGCTGTGACAACAGCACATTTGAATAATTGCTTTTGTCAAAACTAAGATTAAAATGACAGTTATATAAACTCTGTCACTATTCGCCAACTTCTTGCTTGTAAGTAAAAGTAAGGTAAAGGTCCCTTTTCCACGCCATTATGGGTATAGGGCATATAGGGCTAGACCTATATTTTGTTAGACTAATTAGCACAAGATAGGTGATGTGGTCAGCATCAGACCGACCGCCTTTACTTCCCGGGACTGCACCCAATACCCACTCAAGGCTGGGTTGACCTGGGAGTCAAGGTCATTTTTGAAAAAAGTCCGGATCCGCCAGGGAGCGAACCCACCAGTTTCCGATCCGCAAGCGAGCGTCTAGCTGCTACGCCACGCCGACTCCCTCTTGTCTCTACTCCTGGAATGCCTAGTAGCATCAGGGCAGGGCGATATGATCGTGTGGGGGTGGGGGGGGGGGGAGGGGGAAGAAAAAGACGGGAAACAAAGCATAAAGCAATCAAAACACAACAAATATGTCTACATTACCTGTATGCTTCTGGCATTGACGGGATGGCTTGATGTAAAGGTGGAATAGGCTGATGTATAGAAGGGACTCCAGAATACATTGCACTGGAAAAGCCAGGGTTATAGGTTAACCTGGGCATTCCGCTGATGTCCTCACTGGCGTGGCTTCCTAGCTTCTCTTCCCTTCTCCACTTGGCTCTTCTGGCGAGGAGAACGTATACGACTTTGTCACGGTAAGGCACATTTGCAAATAGAAGAGTGCAGGCATTCGACATGTTGAATTTTGAATTAGGAATCGACATCATTGCACTCGGGGCACTTCTTTAGGCGTTCCGTTCAAAATCTTCAGCACCAAACATAGAGTTCCAATTCCGATGGTACAGTAACTGATTGTACATCTGTCTCGCCTTTTTGCTTGGGTGTTGAGCGTTGGTCAGATCCCCTGGTAACTCCCTGCAGCGCTGTTCTTCTCAGCTGTGCATGCATTACGTTTTCACCTAAAGATTTGACACCCTCACATTTTACTTCTTCAGGATATCGCAGCCTTTTGAGGTTCATTGCTATAGACATTACCAGCCTTCATTCATCTATGTGTGTGGCCTTCTCTTTCCAGTTGATGACTCTAAGTGTGTGTAGGCCTGTCTGAATATTGCCTTGTCTGTTTTTTTTTCTAAAGTAAAAGGTAGCGGTACTCAACATAGAGTGTCTATATTTAGGTACTGGTATTCACCTGACATTTTCAGTTGCAGAAGAGCTGTAGAGCTGGGTCTACAAAAGTGCAGGTACTGTGAGCCGATGCAAACCGTCAGAAAAATACCGTGATTATCTCTGTATTCTCTTATTGGTCTACTTTATGGGTTTCTTACATTCAATTTTCTTGTGTATACACAGTCTTTGTCTCTTCGTCAGCTATTGTGTCTGTATGTCCCATTTCAGTCTGTTAGCCATCATGATGCCAGTAATCCGCTGTGATTGCAACATGTTATGAATTTTATTGTTACTTATCACTCTTCATTTCTCTCTGTTTGCATTTTTATGTGTTCAAAGATCTGTCTAAAAAAATTATTTAGGGTACAAAATCTCAAACAAAAGGGAAGACCCCAACAAGAAAATCCCAGAAACCTCCATTAACATCGAAAGAAGTTATAATTGGGATACTTGTAACAGCTGCAAGAGGCGGCTGTAATATGCAGTCTTATGCGGGTAAGGATGACGCAAATCTGGAAATCCAACAGCTACTGCAGAGGAACAAAACTCCGACTCTACAAGAGCATCAACTTGCCAGTTCTTCTTTATGGAGCAGAATGCTAGAGAATGACCAACAAGGATGCATACAAGCTGTCCACCTTCCACCACACATGTCTACGAAGAATTGTCAAAATTTTCTGGCCAGGTGCAATCACATACACTAAAATATTTCAAGTCACAAGCCAAGAAACTTTAGACAGTATGATAACAAAGAGAAGATGGACACGGCTTGGCCACGTTATGAGAATGAATCCCGATATACCTGCCAAAACAGCTCTCGCTTGGATACCGGAGAGGAAGAGGAAGAAGGGGTGCCCAAAAACAATATAGAGACGAACGATGGAGAGTGAACTAAGTGCTGCATCTCTAACATGGAAAAATGCACTGAAGATTGCACAGGACAGGAAAGTATGGAAAGTCCTCTCTGAAGCCTCATGTGCCACTAGGCATTACGAGAACTGATGTTGATGTTATTATGTGGGTAAGGAGGGGATGTGTTTGTGCACATACATGTGGTCACATATATTGATGAAACTAACATTGCATTTTGGCCATAAGCCCTGGAACCTGACGGTTCAGGCACCTTGAGCACCCCTCCCCCTTTTACCTATAATTCTTTCTAGAAAATTTACAATGGGGCGGAGTGGTTCCCCCAAACCATGTATGTGCGTTCTTTTTTATGTGTGTATGATTACACTGCATTTTTATATATTAATATTATTAATGTAACTCTGTAGTAATGCACCTGGGGAGATACAGCGAAATATACCCGGCAATAAATTATGCAATGTATTGTTTGTGTCCACATTATTTAAATTTACAGAGGGAAAGCATTGTTGTGTGTGAAATATATACATGTTTGCTCTGCAATATTGATCAAATATGTCCAATGATTTATTTTACTTGATTACATTTGCATTCTGAACAAGTGTATCCGTCTGAGAACTATACGTAAAATCTAAATGTTTGACACTACACATAAAATTTACCTGTTTTAAGTCACAATTAAAATTTGCTCGTGGTGTCACATCACACATAAAATCTACGTGTTTGATATCACATGAAGACTACCTTTTTGAAACTACAATTAAGATCTGTTTGTTTTTGACATTACACATGAAATCTACCGGTTGGACATCACATGTAGGACTATCTGTTTGACGTGAAGCTTAAAATCCCCTGTTTGAGAACACCCAAAAAAATCAAACTGCTTGACACCACATATAAATTCTACGCACTTGACACTACACACAAAATCTACCTGTTTGAAACCACAAATAAGATAAGTCTGTTTTTGACAGCACACACAAAAATCTACCTGTTTGAAACCACAAATAAGATAAGTCTGTTTTTGACAGCACACACAAAAATCTACCTGTTTGAAACCACAAATAAGATAAGTCTGTTTTTGACAGCACACACAAAAATCTACCTGTTTTAAACCACAAATAAGATAAGTCTGTTTTTGACAGCACACACACAAATCTACCTGTTTGAGAACCACACTTGGATCCTGGCCTCCGGCAGATCGATCTTGTTGGCAAGCCGCTCACGTGCAAACACGTCAGGGTAATGGGTTCTTTCAAACTCTAGAAAGAGACATCCCATAATATTTACACGTGACCGTTGTGTAGCCAGTGCTACTCAGATAGGCACAAATAAATTCTATTGATTAGCTCTGATACCATGAAGAAAGATATAAAACAGATGTGAGGATGTTGTCTGAAGAGAAATCAGACACATAAAATCTAAGACTAGCCGCTGGAGTGCTTGGGCTGTTATACTGAGGCATACTAGCTATGAAATATGGCATTGTTGTCATAATCATCATCAATGTTGAAGGTTGAATTAAAAATTAACATCATAGAACTCGGAACACTCCCACAAGCGCTCCGTTCCCATCTTCAGCAGCAAACGCATAGTTCCAATTCTGATGGCACCAGTAACTGTCTGATTGTATATCTGTCTCGCCTTTCCCTTGAGTGTTGAGCGTCGGCCAGATCCCGTGGTAACTCCTCGCGGCGCCATTCTCCTCAGACCGTAATGATCTATCTGCGCTTCCGTACTGTTCACTCGCTCCCAGAGGGCCCTCGCAGCAGCTAGCTTGTCATACATCAGTTCACCACCAAATGGTACAGAACTGGCCAGTCTAGTTGTCTGCTCATTTCCCAACACACCGGCATGACCTAGAGAGAATATCCAAAGGATGCTAACTACCCGGGACCATAATTATCGCCATCATCATTATCACTGTGTCTCCTGCCAAATGAAGATTTTGATTGTGTCCATGGCTTTTGGTATTCTCCATACATTATACTTACTATATTCTTCTATATCGCCAACTTAAGCCATTCAGAAGAGATGCTTCTAATCTATTCATGGCTCTTTTACCCCTGCTCTATTTAGTCCTCACAATATTTCCGATCAAAAATTGTAGATAGCTAGCATGCTGATGAAAAGTTATTTGTTTCCAGCCCATTGTTTGCGAATGCAAATTCCCCATTTTTGGGGCGGATATCGAAAGATTTTGTCGCCCAGCTAACGAATCCAGTGCTTGTTTCACACTGTATGCTGGCATTTCACGTCGAATATATTTATTTTCTGTTGTTCCGTGACCGTTTTATATATGATATGCACTAAGAATGGCAGGCGCCGATTACTTACATTCAGAATGTCTTGTTCTTAAATAGTGCTGTATGTACAATGTCGGTTTTCGTAACTAACTGTTTGCATCAACAGCGAACTGTAGTTCTGGTGTGTAACTTCTTGCGTCTACCCCGAACTACAACTCTGGTATGTGACTGTTAGTGCTGGCACATTTGACAGCTGCTTTATGCATTTATTTTACGTGTAGACGCTTCAGGATTCTACTGAGCGTGACATGTTTGTCACTAGTTTTCGAATGGGACAGTAAAGGATATTTTGTATTCTCCACTTGCACAGGCAGGAGAAATTATGGGACACCTGAACTGCAGTCAATCGGGAATCGACTAAAGACCGACTAACGACTAACAATATTTTCAAATAATTTTGCCCTTTAATAATATGACCAAAAACCGTGTTTGTATTTTTTCCTTATAATGTAGCTGTATTCAAAATTTACGTTTCTAAGCCTTTTCCAGGCAATTGTTATTATTTACTCTGAATGTCCATGGAATTGGGAAAATTAATCTTAGAAACCGGACCGTCATTGTCGCTAATAATATTCTTGGCCATTTGGTCATTTACAACACAAGACTGACTGTCATACAACACACACATAAATCATAGCTGTGCGAACTGAGGTGAGCTACTTCTTTCTGTTATTAACTAGGTATACAATTTTGCGTCGGCTCTGTGGCGAAGTCGATGCGAACGCTTCGCTTCGTAATGCCGGGATGCCAGGTTCGATCCCAGCTGCGGGCAATGCACCTTGCGTTGGTTTCGACAGTGGTATCAAGAAAGCCGACCGTCCAGAAGGCATTGGCAAACTACTGGATGTAACTTGCCTAGAGAAACCTCACAACAACCAGGGGCTGTTAGGGTTGGTTCTGCAACGTCCTGTAAAGGATACGCAACTTACTTTTTTATACAATTCTGCATCTTGCTCTACCGGCAGCTTCGACCATAGACACATCGTGCTGTTGTAGTTTCTGTGATGTCCTTTTCTTGGGCTATCTTGTGCACTCCACCCTTCCCCAGTTGGTGTGTGCCTTGTATGGTACAGCGTCATAGGGTATTCTCTCTATGGCGATTGTCTTTACATGTAATTTAGAATTAGTTCTTTGCCAGATTTCTTCTCTCATGACCTCATTTTCGATTTCACAGTTTAAAAAAAAATATTTTAAATGCAGTCATCTTTTAATAGAGCCTTTCAATGGATTATATGACATATTGTCTTCATTTCTTAAGGACTTTCGTTATTTTTAATTTTTTTTAAAACAATAAATTAAATGACAATATATTTCCCATATGCATATATTTCAATGTCGGCTTCGTAATGCCGGAATGCCGGGTTCGATCCCAGCTGCGTACCATGCGCCTTGCGTTAGTTTCGGCAGTGGTATCAAGAAAGCCGACCGTTTAGGGACAATGGCAAAATACTGGACGTAAATTTGCCTAGAAAAACCACACAACAGTCAGGGGCTGTTGGGGTTGGTTCTTCAACGTCCTGTAAAGCATACGCAACTAACCATATATTTCAGCGTTCTGAGCCAGATTTTTATCTTTTCGCCTCATGTTTGATTTTGTATTTTATAGTCACTCCCACAGCTCTTTTCGGACATCTTGTGTCTATGGTTACTAATTGTCTTGTATTTTTTGTTGTGAGTGACCATGTTTGGCACTGGTAGCACAGAGTGAGAATGAATGTGTTTTTATGAGATGTTTCTGTATGCTAATTGGGTTTGTGTTATGCTATAAGAAACAGAGAGAGAGGGAGAGAGATAGAGAGAAAGATAGAGAGAGAGAGATAGAGAGATAGAGAGAGAAAGGGGAGGGGGGGATGCTGGCTGTCCCCAATACTTTGTTTGCTTTACTGCATCTGCTGTTAATTTCCTCATGCATTTCCCTATCTTTAGTTAACGTTGTACCAATATATTTAAACTGATATTGTTGTACCAGTTACACTGCAGGGGAAAACAGAGGGCAATGAACAATGCAGTAATAGTATGTTAAATGAATAAATAAAAAGACTATTTTCGAAGCTTTTAGACGTATTGGGCATATAAGGCGAGACCTTTTTTAGTAATAGTATGGATACCCATTAACAGGATAAAAGAACTGAACATGACAAGAAGAACACAATAAATATCAAAGAAAACAATTAATATACTTGAAAATTCATGGCGGAGTCTCACACACACACACACACACACACACACACACACACACACACACACACACACACACACACACACACACACACAGACAGACACACACACACAGACACAGAAACATACCTTTTTCTAGTGAATGGATTTGTGTAGCTGTAAATGATGTCCGGTTTCTTTGTAATTTTCGCTTGAGACGCAAGCGCATCTGCTCATTGGTTTCTTCACAGCGGCTTTCTGTATGGCTTCCGGTTGACCCCATTCCGGTTATGATTTCATCTAATATGATTGACAAAATAAAACAAAAGTAAATAAAACGTTTAGTCCCAAATAGATAAACATATAATGCAATGGAAGTATCACAACTCATATTTAATGCCTGCGTCAAATTCTCAGTAAAAGCAGAAGTATATTTGGCTTGTGATCTATTGGATCATATTTGCTTTATTTATCTAACCCATTTTGATTTAGCTTAGATCTAAGCTGGTTGAACTACGTGTTTGCTTGTCGTTTTGTATTGCTCACAAAATTGAAGTACATTACTCCAGTAATATGGACCTGCTCTCTCCAGCGCCATTGACTATACTTTGTAGATGGTCGAGTATTTCCCCGAAGGAAAACTGCTCTCTATAATGGTCCATTGAAGGTGAATTCCTCCTCCGCCATCTATTATATCTTTCTTTACTGAGCCATACCTAAAAAAACTATATCAGAATTTTTGATACAGTTCTATTTTAACAGTTGATAGGTGATGTCTGCAGTTCTAAGGAGTCTGTTCGTTCTACGTTCTCTCTGATTTGTGGGAGGAACTTGGAGTTCCATGATGGGCATTCGAGAATGTATCCTTGGATTAGGAAGCCAGAGCTGGTATGTCCTGTTCATTCTTTTCAAAAGAGACATCTGCGATTTAGTTAGCTCTTGTTTCCACAAGAAGACTTACTTCTCTATTGCACTTTATTTGTTTATAGTCGTCGTGTAACACGCAGTTTAAGTTTTATCAAAAAGAATGTCCTGTGCCAGTTTTTCGGCATCAAACACTTTCGTTCTCGCAGTTTCTTTAAAGTCCTGTGTCCAAAGTCTTAGTGGTCGACCCTGCTTCTTCTTAATGACATTATTTTGACATTTTAATCACACCCTTTTTTTAGTGTAGAGACATTATTTTATTCATGAGCTAGCCTCCTTCAATAGTCTGATTTTGTAAAAATATCGTCAGTTTTCTTATTCACGGTGAGATTCGGATAACTTTTCAATAACACGAAGTTCAAAAGCTTTAATTGAAATAGTTGTTGTTGTTGTTGTTGTTGTTGTTGTTGTTGTTGTTGTTGTTGTTGTTGTTGTTCTTCTTCTTCTTCTTCTTCTTCTTCTTCTTCTTCTTCTTCTTCTTCTTCTTTTCCATTTTTCTCTTCTTTTTTTTTTCTTCTTCTTGTGTTTGCTTTCTAGCCGACTGACAGGTTCTTGTAATGAACTTGACTGTTTTTATGAGTTCCTTTTCTGTTTCATACAGCTTTGAGTGCAATGTTGACTTAGTGGGCCAGCATTTCCTTCTTAATGGACTGAACAATGGAAATTCTTGCAGGACACGTTCTGTAGTCTGCACACACAGCCCACGCGAGCACAATGTTGAACTACTTAGACGAAGCATGTGCATATGCTTTTTAAGTTTGAAATGTCCTTTCCTGAGACGTAGGATAATGACCTGCCCATGCCGTTCAAGTAAGTGGTGACCATCTCTAACCAGATTCTGTTTACTTCTGATAGAACGGAGACCCTTTTCGTCTTAAAATATGTTACTGCATTCTTTTCCTGATCGCACTGGGCTCCTTTTTTTTCCAAGCAAATTTATCTGCGTTTCGTTTCCTGGTATACCACAATGGGACAGCACCCACTGGAGTACAGTACACTTTTGCCAAGTTCCGACCGCAGGTGAAGGAGTTTACCACTCTTGGGGGCTTTAAGCACCGATAGCGCATCTTTTTTGGTCTCACCAGTTGGAGCAAGTCAGAGATGGTGTTGTGTAACATTTCGGCAGCCTATTCTAGTGTTAGGATCTCTGCTGTGTAGCTGGAACAGAGCTATACTTGGTATGGCGGTGACTCTCTGGGTATGTGACAAAGACGCCTGCACTCCCATTTTTAACCGCACTGTTTGCTGATCCATCTGTGTAAGCATGTGTCCACGACTGTTCGGAATAGTTTTCCCTGGATCACATTAAGAGCAGCTAATCTTTTTTGAAGGTAATATCATTAGGCTCACCTCCAACTGTGAGTCTTTTGACTGAAGTCATTGTCTATACATGTTCCCAAAGTACAAGGTATAGGGTAGGTTCAGCGGTGATATTCTTATGAGTAGCTCCGCTTGATGCTATCTTCAATGTTATTTCCCCTGTATGATTTCCATAGAGATTATGAAATCAATCATAACCACTCCGTCCAAATGTCCAAACATTTTGAGTATCTTTTCCTTGATGTTTTGATAACCTATCTGGTCTTCTTCTTATGTCATCATGGTCATACGAGGCTGTAACCCCGTGCCGTTGGTTTCTGTGTTCGCTTTCTGCTTCTTTATACGAGGTAAAAATCTCTTCTTCATTTTGCACGGTTCAGATGTACAGTATATACTGTTTTGGGGTCTTTTTTTCGCCTCCTGACTAGAACGATACAATGAAGCCTAAATATTAGAACATATCAGTGTGTTTTTAATACCCCCCCCCCCCCCTCCTCGCCATCTTAACATTGGTCTAAAAAGCTCCCTTTGTGTATGTCCTTTTATTCTGCTTTGTACCGCACAGCACCACCCAGTAAAGCATAAACCTACAACCAGTTTGCAAGAGAAAATCCTTTGCTACTGCCGGTAGCCCACCCATTTCTCCTTATGTTTTCTACCTCATTCTCTACATTATCCACTTCTCCGGCGTGGGTATTTTGTGCGTGTTTCTTTTATTTCCCTGACCATGTCGGTTACAGTGCTATGGCACTCCTGTTATTTTGTCATCAAGTTTTCTCACTTCGTGTCCTAGTTTTTGTGGCTATAGTGGTTTACGCGATGAGGTAGCCCACCCCAAGCTTAGTCATGTCCGTGGATGCCGCTGTCTATCTGCTTTATCGCAGTTTCATTATTCATCGTTCAGTTTCGCCTCGTCTAGCAGAAAGGTTAAAACAACAATATCAGTAACTGACGTTTGGTACATGAACGAGAGCCATATAGCACCAATGCGTGTCGATGACTTTGTTTAGACAACGACTGAAAGCACCACATCAGCTTCCTGTCCGCTTCAAAAGTCGGAGAAAATTTTTATATTTCCATTGTTGATGATTTTTGTAGAAATTCATTTCCGCTATGCAAGTTATTAGCAGCTCCAACTTCACGACAAACGCAACTTCCACAACTGCATCGTTATTGTGCCAGTGACAGCCATTCAGAATGACCATCACTGTACCTTGTAAAAGAATTTAAACAGACAACAAAGGCACCAGGATACACAGGCATTACAATTACAGCGTCACTTACTTTTCTTGTCCATGATCACATGACTTGGGACAGCATGACTAGGAGAGTATCCTGAAGGATGAGCTAATCCTCCAAGTCCACCCACAGCAGGCGAGTACCAGCCGTTAGGACGGGCCCAAGATTGCCCATTTAGGAGTCCAAGCTTGTCGTACATAAATCCTTGACCCATGACCTTCTGTTTCTCACACACTAAGTTCCGCAAGACGCGATTGATGGATGAAACCTGGACAAAAGACCATATTTCCGTGTGAGTTTCGTGACACCATGGGAAAGCTGGGATATACCCATTGTCTCCTAATAAATATGTCGTAAAAGCCGACTACTTCGGTTTATTGCCTTCGTATTCGGAGTGCATTTGCTGAAAGGCGAGAAACCTAGAGTGTCTTTACAAATAAGGCAGATATGAAAAAAAAAAAAAATAGATTTACGCTGACAACTCACTTTCTGGAACAAGACGAAAGTCCAGAAGGAGGAGAAAAACAACCATAACTTCACGCTGGTTTACAGCCAGTGAACGTTAAGAAGAAAAATCAGAAATTAAGTTCCACCACTTATTATATATCGACCCATTGTTTTGTCTGCTGTCTCCACAAGGGAGACTGGCCTCAGTATCAATTGCTGTCTCCACAAGGGAGACTGGCCTCAGTATCAATTGCTGTCTCCACAAGGGAGACTGGCCTCAGTATCCATTGCTGTCTCCACAAGGGAGACAGGCCTCAGTATCCATTGCTGTCTCCACAAGGGAGACTGGCCTCAGTATCCATTGCTGTCTCCACAAGGGAGACTGGCCTCAGTATCCATTGCTGTCTCCACAAGGGAGACTGGCCTCAGTATCAATTGCTGTCTCCACAAGGGAGACTCCTCACAAGGGAGACTGGCCTCAGTATCCATTGCTGTCTCCACAAGGGAGACTGGCCTCAGTATCAATTGCTGTCTCCACAAGGGAGACTGGCCTCAGTATCAATTGCTGTCTCCACAAGGGAGACTGGCCTCAGTATCATTTGCACAAGGGAGACTGGCTCAGTATCCATTGCTGTCTCCACAAGGGAGACTGGCCTCAGTATCCATTGCTGTCTCCACAAGGGAGACTGGCCTCAGTATCCATTGCTGTCTCCACAAGGGAGACTGGCCTCAGTATCCATTGCTGTCTTTTGGGATATAACCTGGTAAGGTTCTTGTCTCTTTCACGGTGCTTTGTCTGTTTCGGACGATGATACACGTGTCGTGTATCACAGTGCGAACACCACAATAATAGTACCATAAAATAATAAAAAGTAATAATAATACAATAACCGCTCTATCTTTGTGCCAGACCTGACATATTAGTGTGGGGGGGGGGGGGGGGGGGGTAAGTGGGAGGGACTCATGGGTAAAGAAAACAGCTCATAGAAGCCAGCTTCGGGCCTCAGAAATATATCATCTGAGAAAGGTGGTCCAAGTGACAAGAGCGGACACAGTTCGCAATCAGACAATACGTCATGGCCTTCAAACCCAGGCCTTGCAAACTCAAGTGGATCAGTTTTAGTGACGCTGGTTTGGACAGACATGTATGCAGAGTGGAAGCCAGTCAGCAACCACGTCCATCTTTATCCAATCATTTATGAAAACAAAACAATAATTCGACCATGTTCAAACTGTCGCAAACATTATAGGCTATAACTGTGGTCTGGTTTTATTGTGCTGAGTATATTGGTTAAGAAGTGTTAATTGCACCAAAAACGAGTGGCCCGTGCCGACTCTAGAACTTGGTGAGGGTTGTAGGAGAGGGACCAGCTGTGCTCGATTATCATCACAATCACAACTATCATTGACACGAACGCCAAGACGATGGACGAAATGGACAACACTATGCCAGCAGCCTTCATTTCCCATTACATTTCCTAGTACTCAGTTGCTCTCAGTTCCACTTTCTTAGCAAACTGGGTCGCCCGTGTGTCACCGGGACCCTCACGGGAAGCAAAGAATAGTGACACTGCTCCCTACCAGGCATGTCGTAAGAGGCGACTAAGGGTAGGGTTGGGCTTGAGGTTGGCTACCCCATCCTGTAAAAACCATAGCCACAAAAACCAACCAACCATGGATACGCCAAAAAGAGAAGCAAGTAAAATGCCGCCAGCCAAGATGAGGGGAGGCTCTTCAAATAGAGGACGTATGACACGATGTGGAGAAAGCCGTAAGGAGTCCGGATCGTTGACGTACCTCCTCTTAGCTAGGAAAGCCTCCAGAATTGGCACATGGAATGTTAGAACTCTCTATATATAGAACTTTGGGAGAGAACTAAACAGACTCTAGTGGACCAAGAGGCGAAGAAAAGACGCTGGCGTTGGATAGGACACACACTAAGAAAACAGGAGAACAGCATAACTAGAATGTCTTTGCATTGGAACCCACAGGGGCAGAGGAATAAAGGAAGGCCACAAAAAAAAAACACACACACACATGGAGAAAAGAGCTGGAGAATGAAGTTGGAAAGATGGGGAGGACATGGGGAGAGCTCCGTGTAATGGCGAAGGATAGAACGACTTGGCGTGAGTTGGTTGAGGGCCTATGCTCCATTGGGGGGGGGAGGGGGGGGTAGAAAGGCAGAAGAAGAAGAAGCAAACTGGGCACCGCATAGTTCGCTGCCAACAAACACCACACAGAATATCCATCACTGTCCCATGGTGAAAAAGCGGATAAAGACTGCAGTCTCTGCAAAGCTAATATCATGAACACCCAAAAAAAAAAAATATTTATAAGGCAGAAGTCAGAATTGCTAAAATATTTTTACTGGGTCTACATTGTTGGACTACTTAGAGATGTACTGAAATCAGATCTGCTGATGTGCCTAGGAAACTTTCGTGTTCAACCTGAAAAAATAAATACAGGACCCGAGCAGTCCCCACAGTTTATACAGGAGGGCTTTTCAGCTGGCGGTCCGCAGGCCGAATTCGACCCGCAGAGGCATAGCAAGTGGCCCGCAAATCATTTCCGACTGCATTGTATTATTTTAATGATTTTTCTACGCTGCGGCTCGGGCATCCGAGCAGTGGCAATCCCTATTTTTAACATGTTAGCCCCTGAGTAAACTTAGTCGATTATCTCTAGTATATGGGTACGAAAAATGAGAAGAAAGCGCACACACACACACACACACACATCTAAACAAGCCTTGTTCAACCCGAGACAATGCCATGTGAAAGCCCTTACGGCTTAGCGAATGCCCCTACTCCCAAATGACCTGTGAAGATTTATTGCGACAGTGACCGCTAACGGTCAGACGCGTATTGGCCCTGCTGGAGGTTACCCTCGCCCCTGATGACACTACAACTTTCAGAAACTATGTAATCGCCGAAATTGACAGCGACATTTTCAAATATTTGTTTCAACTTCATTTCTTCATTTCCATATGAATTATACCAAAAGAAATCGCGGGTTGCTGTTCAAATATATGGTTCAGATACAATAAATGCGAGTTTGTGGACATAGTTTTAAATATCATTTTTATAATATTTGAACATTAAATCAAATTACTATTATTTTGACAAATTGGTTGCACAACTTTTTGTGAGATAGACCAAGAAATAGGTATAATTTCAAAATTTAAAACAACTGCACCAGTATCTAGTGTCTACCGTGGAGAATAGCAGAAGAGCAACAACAAGAACCGAGTACCTCCAACGACATTCAGGAGGCGAAAGCAGTAGTGAGGAAAGGGAAGAACACACATTGGTACCAATTACAAGCAAACTCCATAATTCTGTTCAATAATGAAGAAGAAATTAAGAAAAAAAAAAAAAAAAAAAAAACCAGAGCAAGTAAGAGGATAAAGCCCTCTTGATTTCATTATCTCCATCACGTCTGCCTCTAAAGCTGAATTAGTGGTTTATGGGAGCATTACTTTAGTCCGCGCTACCACAACTCCAACGCCGTCCTTAGCATCCACATCAACAGGGATCTTAACTAGTACAAGAACAAGCGAAGTACCCAAGCTTAAGATTCCTTAGAAACTAAGCGGTTTTTGCACTGTAATTAATTAGGTCAAAATTACTGAACAGGGTGTCAACACGGATTATTATTTTTAATAATTTGTACTATCATCCCTACCGATAAATAATGGGCAAAGCCGTTATGATGATTATTAGATTGTGCCGGTGAAAGTGCGAAGGTAATCCCACAGCCCAAGGGTTGTGAAGCCTACAACCTCACTCGTGCGTGATAAGAGAAATCACCAACGATTTTAGGAATTGTTCGCAGCATAAAGGTGGGGTTTTCTCATGCATGACTGTTGGAAATGGGTACGCGGTGATTTGCTTTCGTCCCCATAGGCAGTTTGGATTCATTTCCCATTGTCTTGTGAGTTCTTCCCTGTGGGGTGTGCAAAACATAGGTGGTGATTATCTAGAGTTGTAATCCTGTAGCAGATCATTGGACTAATCAAACCTTCATCATCATCATCATGTGCCCTGCCAACTGGCGTAGGCGCTCACGATCCCTGGTTGCCTGAAACCGCTCTCTTGATGATATCCCTCTATGCTATCAAACCCTACTGGAGGAAAAAATCCCTCTCGATCCTTCACTTGTTCATCTTCTATAAAGACTGAAATCTTGTGTCTCCTTTGTATGTATGTACTGGTCAGTTCTGGTTCCTCTTCTCAAAATCTATTTGTTACTGATTTTGTTGTTCTGTTACGCATCACACACCGAGTGTCTATTGGTCTACGGAATATATGTCTAACCCTATATGCCTAGTACGCTTGAAGATGTGGAAAATGGTCCTTTGCTTTACTATCAACTATTTTGTTGTCAAGAGCTGAAACTGTCACTTTTTACAAATGGTGAATTTTAAACATTTTCCACATTCTGTGATCACAAGTCTTTATTGCCACAATCAAACAAACCAGGTATAGAATAATCACATTCATTTGAAATTACAAGGAAAATTTATGTTGATTGTCAAATCAAAATTGATTAAACAAAAAAAAAAACATTTTTTTTTTCATGTGAATATGCTTAAATTATAATTCAGAGAATCTTTCTATGGTGTCATGTCAATGGTTTGAAATGAATTATGTAAGTATTCCATAGTTGTGGATTTCAAGCTGTAGGATAGACATGGCCAATAAGACACCTTTTTTTGGGGGGAAGGGGGAGTACCTAGTTGACCATGTTTTTAATGCACCTGTATCCATGGCGAGGCGTACACGCCGTCTGTAGTTGACAGGTTCAATTCCCGGTACGGTA